CCCTGTGTGAAGTGTGCCTTCAATTACCCGTTGCAACAATGTTGCGAATGGGTAATTAACAAGCTGTGCAGTAGGTCCTTTGTTCTCTGGGTGGCCGCCATTCGGGAAACGAACACGTGGCGGCGTCCATTTTAAAAATCCCGAACAGTGGTGTTTTGCCGTCGAGTGTCTGGAACCCAAATCGGACACTCGAATAGGCAAACACCGCTGAGACCTCCATACGCATGATACGTTCACTTCCAAACTACCATACGGCCCCTCATTCGGTAGAAAGAAACAACCGAACGAGGGGATTCATGCAAACCCTACCTGATCTCTGTAGCCTTAGCCTTTCGTGCAATTTGTTCCCTTATACTGTGACCGACCGCAGGGCCCCATCGCATGGAACCCAATTCGGCTGTTCTCTCCAGCGCGGTCGGTCTTTTTATTACCTCCACGAATTTCCCGAACCCCTGGTCCGATCTGAGGGATTTTGGATATGTTGCTCACCCAGATCAGGGCTACCAGGGGATGTGCGATTTAAAGGGGTACCCCTAGGTTTAGGGATACATCCAGAAACTGGCGGAATTTGTGTACAGTATAAGGGGATTATGAGTCAAGCTGAGGGGAGGAGATGTGTGGGAGGTTACTAGAACAGGATTGGATACTGTATTAATGAAAATCCCTCCCTTGCATGGGAGCATGCTTTATAAGGCCACTGTGAAATAAAAGTTTTAGTTCTGCTCCTGATGCTGTGTGTCGTCCAGTTATTGGGATTGCTGTTGGGATCTTGGTATATTGTTTTACCTGCTGGAAACCTTACTTTATGGATTTATAACTACTTGTTCCTGAGCCTCACTGGGAGGTATGAGGCTCAGGAACAAGCCTTATGAGGGCTGAATCTGGCACAAGGTTCCCAGGAAAAGAGTTTGCTTAAGAGCAATCTCAAGTTATTTAGTATAACAAATGTATGTATTTAATATTTTATTTTTTATATCCCCTTAGTGACCGTGGAAGTACAGGGGACGTCAGCCAAAAAACAGTCGTTAACAGCTGACGTACCCTGTACATCTGCGGCCAAAATGAGCACTGGAAGTCGCTTTATGTGTATTACACAATGCCTTCGATATCGAGGCATCGTGGAATACCCCCCTCACTGCCGGGCACCCGGTGATCGCTCTCCCCAGAGGGATCACTTTCAGGTTGCTGCCTGTGGTGCCCAGCAGTGTAGTGCAGGGCATCGGAAGCCTTCAGGCAGGCTTTCGATGCTCTTCCTGTACTTACTGCCTAAGGGGTCGAGGCACTCAGAAAAAGTTTTTTTTTTTTTTAAATAATTAGATAAAAAAATTAATCCCCTACTCTCCTTCCTCTACCTCCCCATGTATTTATGGATCGCCACTGTTCCCCCGCCGTTGATCGGTCTTCTTCTGAGGGGAACTGTCTGGGTTCAGCCCAGACAGTCCCCCCTCTGCAATTTAGGATCCCTGGGGTCCATGTGACCACTCTAAAAGAGTGTCACATATGTGTCCACAGTGCTGCCAGCAGGGGGACTGCCTGAACTGACAGACAGTCATCCTGCTGGTGAAAAAGTAAAAACATTTTTTTTTTTTAAAGTTTAAAAAAATGTAAATGAAGTTAATTATTATTATTATTATTATTATTATTATTATGATATTTATATAGCGCCATCAAATTCCGCAGCGCTTTCCAATGGGTGGACAAACAGACATGTAGTTGTAACCAGACAAGTTGGACACACAGGAACAGAGGGGTTGAGGGCCCTGCTCAATGAGCTTACTTGATAGAGGGAGTGGGGTAAAATGACACAAAAAGGTAAGGATAGTATTAGACTAGTGACAGTTGCGGAAGAGGAATCAGTCAGGAGCTATTAACAGTTTAATTGATACACTTTTATTAAGAAGTGGGTTTTTAGCGATTTTTTTGAAGGCTTAGAGACTCGGTGAGCATCTAAGAGGGAAGAGAGTTCCACAGGAACGGTGCAGCCCTCGAGAAATCTTGAAGGCGAGCATCAGAGGTTGGAGTACGGACAGAAGATAGACGTAAGTCTTCAGCAGATCGTAAGGGCCTAGATGGAACATGCTTGTGTATAAGGGAGGATAGATAGGTGGGAGCAGAATTATGTAGAGATTTGAAAGCAAGAACCAGAATTTTAAATTGAGCTCTATATTTTATAGGGACTGACAGAAGGGTGAGGCATGGGAGGTGCGGGCGGACAGGAGGATGATCCTCGCTGCCGCATTTATTAAGGACTGCACAGCGCAAGTTGGGAGCACGTAAGACCACTGAGAAGCGGATTACAGTAGTCAAGGCGAGAAAGGACAGTGGAATTGACCAACACCTTAGTCGCATCTGGCGTTAAGTAGGGGTGGATGCGCGCAATGTTTTTGAGATGGAAATGACAGGATTTGGCGATAGATTGAACATGAGGCTTGAAGGAGAGGTTGGTGTCAAAGAGAACACCTTGGCAGCGAGCCTGTGTGGTGGAGCTGATGGTAGCACCGTTGACTTGGAGTGAGACAGACACAGGAGTAACAACACTTGAGGGAGGAAAGACCAGAATTTCAGTTTTGGTCAAGTTTAGTTTAACCCCTTAAGGACACATGACGTGTGACATGTCATGATTCCCTTTTATTCCAGAAGTTTGGTCCTTAAGGGGTTAAGGAAGTGGGCAGCCATCCAGTTAGAAATAGTAGAGAGGCAGTCAGAGACACTAGTCAAGAGGGATGGAAAGAGATCAGGAGAGGACAGGTAGATTTTTCATGTCATCTGCATAGAAATGATATTGGAAGCCAAAGGAGCTAATGAGTTTACCAAGGGAGGCAGTATAGATGAAGAACAGTAGGGGACCAAGGACTGAACCTTGGGGGACACCAACAGAGAGGAGTTGGGGAGAAGAAGCAGAGCCAGCGAAAGAAACACTGAAAGAGCGCTGGAAGAGGAAGAGGAGCACCAGGAGAGAGCAATATCTTGTAGACCGAGGATGAGAAGAAGCTGTTGATGATCAACAGTGTCAAAAGCCACAGACAGGTCAAGGAGAATTAGGATAGAGTAGTGACCATGAGATTTTGCAGCGAGTAGATCATTGGATACTTTGGTCAGTGCCGTTTCCACAGAGTGCTTAGAGTGGAAACCAGACTGAAGCGGGTCTAGCAGAGAGCTGGACTCGAGGAAGTCTGTCAATCTTGCATACACAATTCTTTCAAGGATCTTGGATGCAAAAGGCAGTAGGGAGATAGGACGTTAGTTGGATGGGGAGTTAGGGTCAAGATTGTTCTTCTTTAGAATTGGGGTTGCAGTTGAATGTTTGAAAGGCGATGGAAATATACCAGAGGAGAGAGAGAGATTGAGAATTTTAGAGAGGTGGAGAAAGAGAAGAAGACAGAGTACGACTCATTTACAGTAACCCACGTCCTCTCTCTGCCTGAGAGATATTGAGATAAGTTAAGAAATAACCCAATTATCTCCAGGCAGAGGGCACACTTTTTTCCCAAAAATTAGAACACCCCTTTCCACACAAGGTATCCCCACAAATGGGGACCAACATATCCAAATTTCACCCAGATCAGTTCAGGGGTTCTCACAAAGTATGGAAGTCATACGTTACCGACCACACACGAGGCTCCTGCCCAAAACAGTTCCACGAATTCAGCGTGTGCGGTCAGTCAGTGTCACGTATTCATCCGCTTATAGAAATGTGGTTAATGACATTTACTGTCCACACAGGAAAAGTTGTGCCGAGCAGCAACCTAATCCACAGAAGGTTTAATGCTGAGCAGTAATTGTGCAAATGAAACCTGGTCTCATGTATTCATCCGCTTATAGAAAAGTGGTTAATGACATTTACTGTCCACACAGGAAAAGTTGTGCCGAGCAGCAACCTAATCCACAGAAGGGTTAATGCTGAGCAGCAATTATGCAAATGAAACCTGGTAACTGACTTTGGGGTCAAAGGCCGGTTACAGCCTATCAGAAACTAAAGGAGGGGTATTTAGGCCCAGTTCTCAGCCTGCTCAGTGCCCTGTCGTGGTTTCCCTTGTGGTTGTCCGAGAGCGCGTTCCTGTTTATAGTTTTCTACCTGGTTTTTGACTTTGGCTTTGTTTATTGACTTCTCTATATTCTGGTATCCTGACTCCTGGCTTTCTTCATCGCTGTGTCCCTTTCTGTGTTCCCTGACCTCGGCTAGTATTTTTGACTATTCTTTGTACGTTAAATCCGGCCATTCTAAGGACCGGTAATATGTTACTTATTTGTCATCCGTGCTGTACAGTTCTATGTGCTGGATCAAACAGTAATCCTGACAGTCAGTTCAGTAAATGGCATGAAATGAATAAAAGTCCCAAATGGATTCTCCTGTTCATATGAACCAAACTACCGAATGGCGCTCTCCTGGCTGTTCGGCAACTAAAGGAAGCAGGCGTTCGGTAGTTTCAGCGGTGGTTCGGGAGGTCGAGTGTCAGATTTTAGTTCCAGACACTCGACAACCAAGTCCCGCTGACTCCTTTCGGCAAACAAGGTGGCCGCCATTTTCTGTTCCACCTTGCATTCGGCTATACGAACAGCAGCCTCCCAGAAAGTGCTTAATAGACGGTTCTTTTGAAGTTAATGAGCCAGGAGGGTGGTCGGTGATCGGTAGTTTAAAACTACCAAACTAATAGATCCAAAATGAACAAAATACTGCAGAAAAGCCCGAACATAGAAGAAAATACCGAACTCAGTCTATTTTCTTCACAAGAAGATAGTACCAGTGTTTAATTTATAACAACGAAGTCTACATGAAGAGGAAATAGAGATCCTCAAATTAGGACTTTTTTTGTACCTATGACTAATCCTAATAAATTTACCTGGAATGTGGAGTTATTCAATTTTGGCAGAAATATGCGCCTGAAAGACCACTTTAATAAACCACAAACACAACAACAAAACCAAAAAGAAAAGATATTATACAGTTTAAACCAAGATCCAACTTTGACCCACAAAACCATGATGGTGGTATAGAGGCTATGAGACAGGTCCTATGTGCCTCATCAGTGTATAAGATTCCACCCATAGAATATACACTGGAGTTACTAGAAGTGGCATTAAAGAACAACTATTTCCATTTCGAAGAACAATGGTACATGCAGATATCGGGAACGTCCATGGGCGCAGCGATGGTGCCCATGTACGCCAACGCGTATATGTACGTGTTTGAAACAGAACACATATTAAAACCATTCCAACAAAATATCATCAAGTATTTCCACTTCATAAACGACGTCTTGATAATATGGGGAGGCACAATAACACAGGCTTATGAGATGGTGGAACATATTAACCAACTTCCAACACCAGTACGTATGATGGCCGATGTAAGTTCAGAGAAGGTCCATTTTTTGGACGTGGAGTTATCTGTAGAAGATCACAAAATTGTATATAGCCTCTACTCCAAACCCGCAGACCGAAATACAATACTACACTATACTAGTGCTCACCCTATAAATTTGAAAAATTCCATTCCTCGAACTCAATTCCTCAGAGTTATGAGAAATAATTCTGAAGAAATAGTGAAACAGCAACAAATAATCCAAATGAAGATGAAATTCCTGGAATGAGGGTACAGTGAAAGGGTCTTAGATAGAGCGTTGGAAGAAGGAAAGAAAAAAGCGACCATGCCGCAAGACACCACTATAAAGCCTAAGTTGGTTTTCCCAGTGATATTCCATAATAAATCACAGAAAATATCTAACATAGTGAAGAAAAACTGGAACATGTTAGCATGTGACGATACCCTACCAAAGGAATTTAAGGAACCACCAAGGATTTGTTTTCGGAGGAATAGGAATTTGAAAGATATACTAATGAAAACTGATCCGGTAGAGAGTTATGCTGAACAACAGAAACCACAAGTGAGGGGATGTGTTTGTTGTTTAGGATGCGTGACCTGTGGTTATATGGTGCCATCACGAACTTTTAATCATCCACATAAAAATAAGATCTATAAGATACGACACACGATTACATGCAGAACAACATTTGTCGTGTATAAAAATATCATGACCCTGCGGTATGGTCTATACCTGGAAAACCGAGACACAACTATGCGATTGGATTAGAGGGCACAGATCGAATTTTAGGAAGGCTTATAGGGATGGACGCACTGATAAACTGGTGGCGAAACATTTCTTGGAGTATAAACATCCACTGGCAGCATTAAAATTCGTAGCAATAGATCATGTACCATTGCCCAGAAGGGGAGGAGATAGAGGAAATACATTGTTAAGAAGAGAGACATTTTGGATACAGGAATTGGACACAGTTGCACCCCGAGGATTAAATGAAATTATATCTTATGATCCGTTTATATGAGTAACTTTACAAGAAAGAACTGGCCTCTCAGAGTTGAAGATGATTTTATTAACCATACTGTTATTTGATTTAGAGCGAAGATAAATTTGAACATGATTTACAACACAAAGATAAAGCACCACGCTTACAGCAGCAGTAGCTTAGCATCCAACAGCTCAAAATACATAGTAAAAACAAAGAGAACGTTATCTGCACTCTGGCCTAAATCCCCATGTACATTTAAACAAAATGGAGGCTCTTTAGTTTTATTCCAATGGCCATTTGAATATATAAGCTCACCTGCCACGTCAAGGCAAGCCTCAATAGGTGAGTCCTACTCTAGCCGTTAGATTTGCTGATATCAGCCAAGAATCTCCAATAAGACAGGAAGGAGTATTTCATAAACCCTTTCACATTTAACCCTGTATAGGGCTTCTACACATACAATAAACTTTGCTGAAAATAATTAGTTATGGTTATAATTAATTGTAAGAGCTGAGAAATAGATTAGATAATAAGAACGTAATAATTAAAGTTAAAATAAGTTTGTAATTGGAAATAGAACCGCATATAGTAGTAACAGTTACATTCAAGTGTACAGTATACATCTTTAAAAATTATTTGATCATATGTATTTTATTTAATGCAGTTTAAAATACACAATGATACAAATTAGAATTTATTTTTAGCACTGTATAGAATTCACTTTTAAGCACTTTAAGATATGCATTTGTATCACTTTAAGATATGTTTAGAAGCACTTTAATGTACATATCAATCACATGGTCACTTTAGTGTATATAATATTCACTTGATAACATAGCACTTTAGAACATATAGAAGCAACAATGTCACTTTAAGGTATTAATAAGCACTTTATTGTATATATTAATCACATTAATGTAAATATATGCACAAGTTTCACTTTAAGATAGGCTTGAAAGCCCTTGATGGAAACACAAATCACATGGTCACTTTAATATAAAATCTATTCTATAACACTTTAGTGTATAAAATAGCACTTTGGTGCACGTTAAATAGATGAGTTATTTTAACACTTCAAGATATGCTTGGAAGCACTTTATGTATATATTAGGTACATGATCACTTTAATACAAAATCCACACAATAACACTTTAGTGTATAGAACAGCACTCCAGTGCATATTAAAATGAGTTATTTTAACATATTTGGCAAAATATTAGTATAGGTATTTTATAAAAATCACTTGAATGAACATGTATATATATATTTGTTTGATGGGTTTTCAGTTTAAAACTTTGTTGCATAGAGAGATAGAAATGTATCCTATTTGTTAAAAAAATTACAGCAGAGTGTATTGGTATAAATATGGAATGAAAAATCATGCTCTAATGAGTGAACAGTATGGATTATGCTTTTAAGTGTTAAATGATTGGTATGTATATTTTATTTTAATTTGTCTGGCTGCATGTATGCTATATAACAGTGATGGTGAACCTTTTTGAGCCAGAGTGCCCAAACCGCAATACATGCCAACTTTTTTTCCCTCAAAGTGCCAACACGGCAATTAAACCTGAATACTGAAGTTTAAGTTTAGAAAAAACAACTCGTACAGTTGTCCGAACTAATTAACAACTTTGTTTTAAAAGAAGAACACAACAGAGCGTTCAATGATACAAATTTTAAATAATGATATAAATAGATAAAATTAGGCTTATAATTATTAGTATCTCCAACAAATGCAATACATACACACAGACTGCTGAACACATTCACACACCAGCCACTAAATACACATACAGAAAGACTGCTGAGTACACACAGACTGTTGAGTACACACACACACACTGTCTGCTGAGTACACACACTCTGCTGAGTACACACACACACAGTCTGCTGAGTACACACACACACACAGTATGCTGAGTACACACACACAGTCTGCTGAATACACACACACACAGTCTGCTGAATACACACACAGACTGCTGAATACACACACACAAACAGACTGCTGAATACACACACACACAGTGGTGTATCCTGGTTTTGCGCTGCCCTAGGCAGGACAAAACTCAGGTGCCCCCCTCCCCCCGCGCCAGCCCCACCCAACCCTTCCCCCCGCCCTCTAAATACACACACGCACATTCACTGACAGATACGCATACACTAGCTAACAGAAACACACACTCGCTAACAGGAACACACACACTAACAGACAAACACACACTCACTGACAGAGTACTGTGTGTGGGGGTGCTGTGTGTGTGTCTGAGGGATGCTGTGTGTGTGTGTCTGAGAGGTGCTGTGTGTGTGTGTCTGTCTGAGGGGTGATGTGTGTGTGTGTGAGGGGCGCAGTGTGTGTGTGTGTCTGAGGGGTGCAGTGTGTGTGTGTCTAAAGGGGTGCAGTGTGTGTCTGAAGGATGCAGTGTGTGTGGGGGGGTGCTGTGTGTGTGCAGATGCTGTGCGTGTGCGGTGTAGGAGTGCTGTGTGTGGGGGGGAGATGTGTGTGGGGGTGCTGTGTGTGGGCGGGTAGGGTGCTGTGGGGGGTAGGGGTACATTAAAAAAAAAAAATATATATATATATATATATATATATTTTTTTTTTTAATTTTATTAATTCTGTATCCCCCCCCTCCCTTCCGCTTACCTTTGGTGAAGGAGTAGGGGGGGGGGGGACACAGCTATCCCTGGTGGTCCGGTGGTGGTAAGTAGGTTTGTGTGAAGCAGCTCTCCTGTACTCCCGCGCGATGCTGTGTGGAGCATTGCCATGGTTACGTGCAGCAATGCTCCACACAGCATCGCGCGGGAGGACAGGAGAGCTGCTTCCTAGAACCCTCCCCCTTCCTCCCGACACGAAAGCAGAGTAGGCACCTACCTTTTCGGGCAGGCAGGTGCCTACTCTGCAGACAGCCAGCGGCCCCCTCTCCCGGCGACCTATGGCCGCATGCCCACAGAGAGGGCCCAGCGTGCCACCTGTGGCACGCGTGCCGTAGGTTCCCCATCACTGCTATATGAGATCCGGCGTAAACTTTGTTTTGTTTTGGTTCATCTAGTTGCCAGGGAACCTGAAGCGATATCGGGTAACCCTGGTAACGAATGGTGACGTCAGTACGCTACTTCCGGGTAGCGGCATGCTCGCGCATGCGCAGAAGTGATTGCGAGATGCCGAGAAAATAGCGATACAGGTGGTGAGTGATTTTATGATGATCAATTAGTTTGTTTAGCTATATAAGTGTATTAGTTAGAATATGTATTTGTGCTGAACTGATCCTGATGAAAGCCACGAACGATGGTTGAAACATTGATTATATTTTAACAAGGAATGAAATAAAGGAATCTTTTACAAAGGAAAAAAAGACTGTGAGTGCAAGCCTTTTTCACTATTCTTATTATAACCTATGGCTGTGGCTAGAATGCACCCGGCATTTGGAAAAGTTTAAAAAGTTTGAAAAGTGTGTG